ATTTATGGAATTAAATATTTTAAAACCCTTCTTTACAAAAAACGAAGATTTCCTTTTAGAATAATTAAATATACCAAAGCTTAATATCTCATTAAACTGTAGGTTGCTTATTTTGTACTCAGAAATTCGATTACTCTGCCCACTGTGCCAGGGAGCACACAGAGCGATAGGAAACGAGTAGAGCGAAAAAAATGAATAAATAAATAAAAGTGCTTTGGCTTCATTAGGCGATTAGCGCGACTCGTAGGAATGATGATCCTGTTGGCAGGACCCGTTTTCGAGATTCCAATTCCGATTTGGGTCGCTCTTTCACCCCCACTTGCTGCTTCCTGCTTTTGCTTTTGCTTTTGCTCGTGCTCTGCTTTTTGCCTGCTTTCTGCTTTTGCTTTTGCTCACTTAATGCGCGCCTGCGCAGCAAGTCAAGTGCGAATCGTCATGTCAATCAGGACCAGTTGCGGGATGGAAACCAAACCAGGACGGAGGACCGTTAAAAAATGTGTCGCCCGGCCACGCCCCCTCCCCTTTTTCCTGATGTACACTTTTTTTTTTTTTTGACAAACTGACAGGCAAATGTCAGCGATTTACAAAACGTTTAAGCTCCCCGCTCTTTTGTCCACTTCACTGCTCATGAAACAACAAACACACGGGCCAGTTTCCCGAATTTCCCTCCACGCCACTCGACTCGACTCGAAAACTGGCTCATATTTGTTTTTCATAAGCCAGCAGCAGTAACAGCAACAGCCACTGGAAAAAATGTAAATTTTCACCCAAATAGAAGAGGGACGATGACGAAAGACGACGACGGCACGCGTGTAATCGCCCGGAAGCGTTTCGTTCGCATTCCCATTTTTTATTTTCATTTTTATTGTTCTGTAAGTCACCCCCTTTTCGTGGAGCGTGCAACGTGCCACCAGCAGCAAAGCAGCATAGCAGCATTGCAACATTGCAACATCGCAGATGCAGTGTAACCATTATATTCCATATTTCATTTTACATGGGGTGGCTAGGGCGGTGGCGGCCCAAAAAGCTTCCAGTTGCATCATTAGTTGCCTGCAAATTTGCATGACTTGTGTGCCATTTTGACCTGCGGCAACAGACACACGGGGCACGTGGCAAACATCAGAACATACAATATATGTTGCATATGGCATATGGCACAGAGCACACGGCCAACTGTCACTCCAATCCGCCGGAACTGCGCCGTCATCCGCCGATCGCTCATTCTGCCCACTCATCATTACACGGCTAAAAAAAAACTCAAAAGTTGTAAACAGATCTGGGGATCTGCGTAAAAAGGTCCTGAAAAAGGTCATTACTTCATTGAAAGTTTGATTTTTTTGTCATATTTTTCCATGGCTTATGCATTTAACTTTTCAGAACCTATTGTACCCAAAATACTCCTTTTAAGTTATATAAATTAGCTATATTTACCTTGGAACATTTTCATGATATTTTTATATTTTAAACAATTAAAGAAATATTATAGAGATACTTAAAGTTTTCCAAACATTTTATTTTATTTATTTTATAAGTCATCCCAACGCTACAAGCTTCGAGCTTATTATTAATGCGCTAGTCACAAAAACTTAGTCACACAAAACTTAATAAATTGTATAGAGATACTTAAGGATTTCATATGATAGTAATAAATTAGCTAGATTTAGTCAGCTTTTCCCCGAATCATTGCGATTAATCTAAGCTAAACTATTAACCCATAAAAAGTAAGGGGTTTCCAGTACTGCATGTCCAATTGCTTATAATACTATTTTATCTTTTAGTCTACATTTAGAGATCATGCGAATTTCTCCCCGTGCACTGGACTTTTGACTTTCACACTTTGCGAACTGCCTACTTCACCCGATCCGATGCGATTTCGATCGCTGAGCTAATTAGCAGACTTGCAAATTCATTTCACCGCCGTTGCGATCCTCCGTCGTTTTTATTTTTTTTTATTCGCCAGCGGCAACAAAATGTTGCAACCCTTTCGCTTCAGTTTCTGTTTCAGTTTCAGCTACAGTTTTTTTTTTTTTTGTCGTCGCCGCTGTACGGATTGCAGTGGAAAATTTGTTTATCATTAACAGATTGCAGCAGCTCGCGTTGGAAAATGAATTATAATTATGCAGGAACCACCCTGGCGGGGATTTAAATATTAAATGCATGTGCCACACGCGGCGAGCGGGGATTTCAATTTGGATGCCCATTGTTTGCATAATATTTGGCGATTATTGGAACACACTCACTGACAGTTTGGGAATCCTCGAATGCCCAAATCCTCGGGACACGGGACGTTCGAGCGGCAGTGGAGTATCCTGCCAGGATGTGGATTTCTAAGCCGGCTTACCAGCTTTTTAGCGGGGGTTCTGGTTTTCTTGTTTTCCTTTTTTTTTTGCTTTTGGGGGAGCGGAACGGTCCTTGCAGCTTGCCCTTCGCAAAAGAAAGTTTCTTGCCCCGGGGCCAGTGCGAAAATTCGGTGGCATAGTGACTTCGACGAGGCAGGGGCGTTAGGGGGTTAAGGGCGCTGGAAAAAAAGGTTCCTTGGAATCAACAAAAAAAGAATCCATTTCGCCCGCGGCGCTGGCAGCGTCTTGCTTGTCAATCAACAACAAAACGAGTACGAAAATCCGCGAATGCGAATGCATCGGCATCTGGCGAAATCTGTTCCTGCCCCCGAGAAGCAGAGTCTCTGGATCCTGAATACTGAATGCGGAGTTCTGAACTCTGAATCCTTTTCAGCCGCAGCACTTCCTTTTTTCTGCGGCCAGCTGTTGATTAACTAACTGCATAATGAAGGAGGGGGAAAAATCGTGAGGAGGAGAAGCTGAGACCTACCGAAATCGGGTTTTATTATTGTACTTGTGTACTTTTGAAAGTGGGAAGGATATACCCTATAATATAGCCATTCTTAGGTAATTAGAATAGAATAAGAAGATCTTTAATCTAAGATTTGATAACTGAACTAAATGTTATAATTTCCAAGGTGTGGCTTGCTCTTTTTACTTTAGCTACTTGTTAACCTTTAGTTATTACTTCGACAAGTTAGCTACTAACCCTTTTTTCGGTGTCCTGTCAGCTGTGACCAGTGTTTCCACGCCCTCTTGAAGAAACAGAAGCCCCCATCCTATCCACACTCTATCTATCTTCATAGATAGCACTTCCCCCCTTTCGATGAGCATTTGTTTTTTATCACTTTTACAAGCAATTAATTAAATTTTTATCGATTAACCAAGTGACACGCAATGCGAAGGTGAACAGAAGTTGAGAACCGACACGAAGACGGAAACGGGCCAAGAAAAATGTAAATTCTTTGGGTCTCTGAGCCAAGTTTAGGGAAAAGGGTTAGGGAAGAAAAGGGGTGTGACCCAAGACGACGGCATTAGGAAATTGGTCTAACGATGCGGGTGAGCACAGCTGGCCAACTGCAGAATTGGAGAACGGGGAACGGAGCAAGTGCACCCAGCAGGGCATATAACCGGTTATCCAGAAACAGAAACAGAAACAGGAACAATAAAAATAATTCAATTATCTATAGCATCGCAGGCTAAATGGTCTACAAATTAGGGACAAGCCCACAGAAATGTGCGATGCGATGACAGGTTGCAGGATGGGAACGGGGGATTAAGCGGGTTCCTTCCGCAACAGTCGGGTTCTTCAGGTCCCAAGTTCCTGTGGAAAAGGTGTAGGGATAGATATAGGAATACCCATACCCATACCAATACCGCACTCAAATCGAATTACTGTGCCAAAAGAGTGTGCGAGGGCGTCAAAGTGTTAACAAGTGTCATGTGCCCAAGGATCAGAGATGATGAATGTGCGGGATATACTTCTAAAGAGGTTGAATTCTGCTGGTGGAAAAGTAGCTAGATTTTATATATTATTTTTAATAATTAAACTCATAATATAAACACACAGATTTCTTTATACCCCTATCAAGTTTATCACTAAAGGTTCCTAACTTTTTTGCAAGCTTATCAAAAGCATATATTTTTTTCGTTACTAATATAAGTTTAATATGTGCAAAATGATTTTTGGTTGGATTACTTTAAGCTCTAAAGCTGACAGACAAAAGCTGAAAACGGGGGATGATTTGGTTTTTTTTTATAACTGAAAGGGTTTCTACTATAATTTTAAAATGGTTTTAAATTATGATACTTTTATTTTTAGCTATGTGTTAAAATATAGCCACTTGAGCAGCTCAGATGAGGATGAGGATCCTCTTCCAGCCTCTATGCCATCCTCTGTTTTTCCAGCCAGTTGGCCAGCTGCTGCCTGTATTTGTAAATGTATCTTATCCTGACTCTGAGTCCTCCCACTCTTCGTGATCCTGGATCCTGGGGCGTGCCATTGTACCTGTCGGGCATTCAATAGTTCTCAATTTCCCAACCTGTATCGCCGTTGTTTGTTTTGGTCACCTGGAAAAGCAAAGCAAATCGCTTGGTCAAGCAACTGTGTAAATATATGTTATGTTTCACGCAGGTCAAAATGCATTCGGCACGAGCTTGGATATTACGTAGATGACGAAGGTGACCGCAGATGTTTCATATTTGTCATAATAATTTCAGTAATTTCATTAAAATCAACAATATGCTATCGTCTTTTGCTAGAATATTCTAAATTATGTTTAAGTGCAATTAATTATAATAATTATTTCAAGGAGTTGATTGGAAGGTGGTGCTATCTATATTAGTAAAGCTTTTATGAAATTGACTAAGGGGCCTCCTAAAAATATATTCATTCAAAATATCTATTTGAACTTTGATATAGTCATTATATGCTACTAGAATTCATAGATAGATATAGATAGAAATACCTCTAAAAATATAAAAGTATTTACCCCAAAGGCCATTTATTTTCTAGAATTAAATCTGAAATATCAAGCACACCTTCCCATTCCATCAAAAATAGTAGCTTTTGATTTTACTGCATTTATTTTGAAAAAAATAGTTATATAGTAAACTTAAAATATTAATAAATATTTGTTTAAAATTAAATAATGGAAAAAAAAGTGGTGAATACAAAAACTACATAACAGCAGCGTCGAAAAAAAAAAGTTGTATAAATAATTGGATTAAATACGGATGAACTTAGGCTAGGAAAATATGTACAGTAATTTTGTATAGTTTGGTTTTAAGACTTAGGAACTAGATAAGCGTCATAGTTAAGCGTTTTCCCCCCGTTTGTCAGCGTGGCTCGCTCTTCTCTTTTCTTTTCCTTTTGTGGCTCGAAGGACCTCTCCTTAGACATAGATGGACGAGGGCAGGGCCAGTCCCACCTCGAAGTAGTTGCGCTCGTCGACCTTGAAGCGCTTGATGGGCGACTCCTTGGCGATGATCTCCTTGCGGCCCCGCTTCATGGTCTTCACCGGGGTCTCGAGGCAGAAGGTGTTGTCGCCGGGCGCCGGAAGATTGGAGATTGGATTGGCCGCCACCGGGGTGGCCAGTTGGATGAGCACATTGTGGGGTATTTTGCTCAGCGGAGAGGCAGGCTCCGGAGTGGCCATCATGGGCAGTGGGACCAAACCAAAGCTCAGATCGGCGGCGGGATCATCGCCAGCTGCGTAGGATGGGGAGAGCACCTCCTGCGGGCCGTTCGACTCCATTTGCTGCTTGACCAGGGTGCGCCTGCGCAGATTGAAGGTGGATCGGCGCGGCTTCTTCTTGCTGCCCACGTCCGCCTTGCAGGCCGAGTCCAAGATGGCATCTATCAGGCGATCCAAAGTCTGATCGCCCATCTGCGTGGAGGCGGGCTGCGGGGTAATGGGACGCACTGCCTCCGGTTGCCGCAGCTCCTTCACTTCCGCTTCCTCCAAGGTGGCCACAAAGTCGTCGTCCAGCTTGCGCTGCCTCAGCTTTTGAGCTTCTCCCGCTCCAACGATGTAGCGTGGCTGCCCCAAAAAGGGATCCATGCCCCGCAGCGCCAAGTGCTGGCCACTTGGCAGTCCATTGGGCGAGTAGTCCTCGGCGAAGCGCGGCAAGGTGGTGGCATATCGCACACTCTGCACCCGCTGGGGCGCCGCATTTCGAGTGGCCACCGCCTCCGGGGTGACATTGCGTATATCGCTGAGCGGAGCCAAGACCAGCGGACTGTTCAGCAGCCGGGCCATGGGCACGATGGAGTGCGGCGTGGAGTGGAAGCCCACCGTATCGGGCACATTCTCCTTGTTGGCTATGGTGGCCCTCCGCTGGCGGCGCTGCCTCCTCTGGAGTCGCCTCCTCTGGGTTTCACTGGGATCCGGGATCTGATTCTGCTGCAGGGGAATCTCGTTCAGGCGCTGCGCCGATGCCGTCCACTTGAGCATTTTTTGGGATTTCGGATGAGGGTGCACAAAAAAAAAGATATTTATCTGTAGACTCTGGCTAGTCTTCTACTACTGCTCTCGACCGCTCTCGCTGACAAACTGAAGCGGTACTTGGAGCGGGCCGGGTTTTATACCCGCTCCCGGGGTTACGGGGTTAGGGGTTGTTGCGCAAGAGGCACCCCGGCGGGCAGAAGGACACTCGCTCTTTCGCTCTCTCCCAGTCGCGCTCTCTCTCTCGATAAGGAGTTCTCTTTCTGGCCAAGAATCATCTTCAGCCGGGTGATATGAAGATCTAGATCTGAAGGATCTCGAGCAAAAACTTATAAACTATTGAGATAAATTCATTTTTAGTTATATCTTAGAAGAAACCTATTTTGTATGATCTTTTAATTTGTAACATGGTATAATAATATGATTTTGATACTTTTTAGAGGATATTTCACCCAATTCAGTTCCAGATCTTTCCCACAGTCAGCAGTCCTACCCAGGAATCCCCTACTCCAATCCACTCATCCACAGCACCACCACACGAAAATGACATCTAGATGTCTATCGGCCAGCGCTTGGTTATTAAATTTGCTTTCATTCCCCTCAAGGAAGTCCGCTTCCTTTTCTCCCTTTTCTCCCCCTCATTTGAATGGGCATTTTCAGAGGACAGCAACAGGCTGGAAAACGGAAAAAACGGAAGGAAGCCCAGGTTGGCCAGGCTAATTAGCCCATGCCAAAGTCCAACTTCCTGGCCGACAGCTCCTCGTCATTTTCATTTTCAGTTGTTTTAGCCACTTGTCGTAGTTTTGGTATCAGTATTAATTGCGGCTCTTTAGCGGCCGCAAATGCAATTTATATACTCGGCGGTTTTTTAATTGAAAATGTTCGCCCACTCCGGAAGGAAGCATTAGAAAAACGTTACAAACTCTGGGAAAAGTCCTGTTGTCCAGTTGTTCAGCCAGCAGGGGGAAAAGTTTCTAAAAGTATGTTCATTATCACATTATCAAGTTCTTAATAGGTTGGTTTTAAAATAAGGGACTTGAAGGACTCTACTTTAAATTAATTATTACAAAAAAATATAAGAGAACAGTTTAAAAATAAAGGATAATAATATTGATATTTAGATAGATTTCAATTTTTTCTAGTAACGGTTCTCAAAATGCATTTTTAAGTATAGGTTCCCATCATCAGCTTAAATCTAAGCCGCAGCTCCTCGAATATAAATATGAATATGAAATATGGAACCAATAAGCGGATATGTTTCTGATGACAAGATCAAAGATAACTGCCCACATATGTGGCTCTTGACCAGCTGTAGACGAAGTGATCATCGAGATCCCTGAGTGATCTTCAAGTGATCATCAGCCGGGGCTCCTAAGTGAGGTTCAAGTGATGCGAGCTCGTCATCTTCTGGACTTGGATCACTCAAAGTGTCCGTGACCAACGTGGCTGGGTTATCTGGTGATCTGATCTCGTTTCGGATATGTTACTTACATTCCCTGAATGGTTTCCCCTAAATAATCTCTCTATTTGCGATCTTTCGATCGCTGAAAGATTTCCGCTAACGGGGATCGTATATTTCGCACGTTATCCTTTCGTTTTTTTTTGCGGTGAAAGTTGTTTGGTTTTGTAGGTTTTCTTTGTGACTATCTTTCGATCGTCCTTTGTCCTCGATACGGACAAACAGAAAAAAAAAAGAAAAGGGTGCCTGTGTAGTTAATTGATTGCCCCGTTCCATCCACCGAAATGGCGAATTTCTCAACTTTTCAACTCTTTTCCCCGCGTTTACTTGGCGAAATCCGAAATGCGCTCCTTTTGCTTGCTTTTTACCCCGTTTTCCCTTCGATTTGCCCTCGTTATGTCCCCGAATCCTTCGATTCCTCTTTGTGGCGCTGAGTTATCGCTGTTTACATAGCCGCACAAAAGGATTAAATGGGATTTTGAGAGAGTTTCCAGAGCAAAAGAAAGGCCCAAGATATCGGCATGTTGATTAATATGATTTAACGAGCGTCCTGCTAAACAAGGCGTATCCCGATTTGTCTTCGCTCCGCTTGTGCGAGTATGTTTTCCAATAAATTCCCGGCAAAATTACCATAATCCTCGCATTTTCTGCGGTTTAAAAAGGGCAAGGAGAGAAAACAAATGGATAAAGAACTACACGAAAACCACTCAAATTCAATTTGAGTTTTCAGCATTTCGTGTGCGACGATTTTACGCTTAATTAACGAGCCCAAGGACCCCGAAGCCCAAAGGCTGAAGGACCGCTGCCCGAAGTCACGATCCAGTCCCGATTGCTATATGCAAATTGCCCATGCATTTTTTATCGGATCATCCGTCCCTTTCCCCCGCTCGGCGGCCCTCTCGCTCGCTCGCACGCGTGTTTAGGGGAGAGCGCGTCGCCAAGAGGCACTTGACTTTCACTCTCACTCCTTCGGGGTCCTGAGATCCCATCCCGAGTACCGGTACCGAGATCCTGAACCGGAGGAACTGCGTTTTTCAGGAGGGATTTGCATGCTCGATGGCCTGTGGCTAAAAACTCGCCACTTTGGCGCATAAACTTTGCAAATCCTTTGATAGAGATGCTCTTTCACCCTTTTACTAGCTATAGCTAGATTTTAAGGGTTAAAAAATTTTAAAAAATATTTTTTGGTCTTATATACAAGTTGCGAAAACTGATAAATAAATTATAGATTAAAAGACAATCTTGCATACATATTTATTATGTTTAAAAACAACAGTGAAAAAGCAAAAACTTAATATTAAATATTATAGATCTTGTTTTAGAAACATATTCAATTTAAATAATATATTTTAATAAGTTATAGGTTGTAATTTAATAGTTTTATTTTTTATTAATACGATTCTAGTAGATACAGCCCTTATGAGAGTGTTAAATGTAGCCACTTGATCCTCACTGATTTCCATTTCCCTCCCTTTCGCATATATGCTAACATCGCATGCAGATCTCGGGGGCACTTCGGCAGGACCTTATAGATAGGGCTGCTTTATTGTTGCTGCCTGTGATTAATGCGCCCGTGTTCGCATTGTTTGCGAAATTTATCGATATTTGATTTGCTGCGCGCGGCCGCCTAAAATGGTATTCAAAAATGCTCAAAGTGTATCAAATGTTTGTCGCGCGGCTTTGTTTGCGTTTTGCATAATGGAGGGAAAGTGTTTGCGAAAGGGGGAAATTCAAATAGGAATCGTAATGAAATGGGCAAATAGGGAAAGTGCCAGGTTCGCGACTTCATTAACGCATTGCAAAAAAAGAGGTTGGGGGATTTTTACGACTCTGATTCCAAGCGGAACCCACAAAAAAGTGAAACCATTAAATCATAAATGAACTAAAATGATTAATTGATTTCATAACTTTTTACGCTGGCACTTTTTGGTTTTTGGAGCAGGGGAAGGGAAAGGGAAAGGGAAAGAAATCAAATGATTCGAAATGGAATGAAATGACTGGCAGAATATAAAGGATAAATGGCAATAGCAATAACGGGCCCCTGGCAAATATCATGTTTATGCTCATAACTTTCAACTCAAAAGTCGACCAACTGTCAACTGTCAAATACGAGACAATTTCGCAAACGAAGTCTGGCCATTTCGGGGTGGGGGATGCTCTCTACTCTCTATAAGGACGACGACTCCGAATTGTGACCCTGAAAAAATAAAGGAGAGGCTGCGCAAACTGGAACACCCAAAGGATGCGTCTGAGGCAGACGTCGCAAGACAATGGATGCCATAATGAAGAGCAGATACAGATACAGATACATTCAGAGAAGATCCTGCCGCACAGCTACAGATACAGATACAGATACGCAACGGGAGATGTCTGCAGCATCCAAGGAGCAAAAACTAAATTACAACAAAGGGGACGCTAGAGGAAAGGATGCGATTGCGATTGCTATTGCGAAGTGGGCTAAAAATCAGAGGGTCGGGGGCTGGAAATTATTGCAAATAATTTAGAGCACATATTGCACATACATACGAAAAAAAAGGAAAAGGATCCGATCCCTTTTCGGTTTGTTCGTTTGTCATTTGCCCACGGCGAAAATCAGCAAGGATTCGCAAGGAGCAAAACCCAAGAAGTAGATCTCCCAGCCCCTCGAACATAAATTTGCAACAATTAAAAACAAAGTTAATTAAAATTTATGTGCGACAGTTTTCTGCACACTCGCACACTCGAGAAAACGAAAACGAAAAAGAAAGTGCCGATCGGGCCCATCCTTTTTTCCTAATTGCTGGGTGTGTCCTGCGAAATGGGGAGGCATTCTGCGCTTCAACAGCCCACTTAAAAAAGATGGGCAGAGATATGGGACATTCCCTATCTGCTATGAGGTACGAGGTACAAGGCATAAAGAAAGAAAGCCCGAATGTGGCAAATAGAGATGTTCGGCCATGGCCATACATAAAAAATGGGAGGATCCAGGAGGCGGAGGCGATGACCATCGATGACCAGTGGTTGACCCACATATAAGGCGCACAAAAGATTTTATAGCCTATTGGTCAAATAGATTTTTACACAATAGTTTTTATGTTGCCTTGTTTCAAGGAATTCTAGAACTACAATTTCTAACTATTTTAATAGTTCCTCAACTGCATATATTTTAAACCAACAAATTTTTAATTTTTTGGTCAAAACTCCACGTTTTAAAAAATCCCAATCGTCATAACAATGCCAAATATAAAATGTCATACCTTGTTGAACTCGTAATAAAACTCCAAATCGATTGGCATTTCAAACTGGAAATTTTTAGAATAAAAATTTTATAAAAAATGCAAAAATTTTTCAAAAATTTTAATTTTTAGTAGGTGGTGGGGATTGTTAGCTTGGGTTGTTAGCTGCATAAAAAAGTTCCCTCGCCTGTGAGTTTCATTTTGGTCAAGTTACAATCGAAACACCCAAGAAAAAAACGCATTTTTGTCACAAATCAAGTTTTTATTTCATTTCTTAACAATCGATCTCCTTAAATCTATTTGTTTTGTACATTTGTTACATAAAGTCAGCTTATCCGAATAAAAACGCATTTTATTGTCTTTTCCCGCCCCGCTGTTTCCGAATCCTTTGGTGGATTCCGATCGGGCGGCG